CCACAACTGTCCTTTCTCTCTCGCTCGTCCTTGTGTATAAGTGCTTTTGCCTTCCACTCGAGTGGATTCGCTTCTCTTTTTTGGTGGATTTTGTTGGCTACCCCCCCAGGGTCGGCTGAATTATTTCATTCGGGATAATATCTATTGTCCTACTATGATTTTATGCCCTCTTGATTCGAGATATTCCTGTCCGAACAGCTGGAATTGTTTATCTTTATGCAATCGCAGTAATTTTTTCTCGACCCTGACGACTGACGGTGACAACTGAAGATTCAACAATTGAAGATTTACTAAAATTTTAACAAGTTGAATCATCCCCCTGTACTTTCCATCCCCCCGAAGCACGAGTTAACGACTGCATTCATCCCCGTAAATACCATGTAATTATTTAATAGCTTCCCACAGTTTATATCACCCGACCAAATCTTCAAGTGTCCTCGCCAATTTAAATCATCTCCCTTGCCTCCATCTCCACCACTGTATCTATCAACTCCGAATGAGATAAAAATTCAGGAAGCTCACTGTCCAATCAAAAGCCGGAATCACACCCGATGTAGGTTTAATTCCATTTTAAATTCTCGTATCGCAGTTATAGTAGACTAGATCACTCTGAAGGCGTAACAGAACAAAAAACAAAAGATCGTTTCCTACAAAAAGTTATCAATATTTTTCAGAACCAACTTGTATTGACCTTCGGAAGGTGATGACGAAGGTTCATGTGCTTTGGTTTTGAAAAATATCGACAACTTTTTGTAGGAACTGTGTTTGACAATTCTTACATATCACAGCCGTCACATCAAAGACTCTTGAAGTTGTCAATTCCCTAAACGACCTCACATTAGCAAAATTAAAAGGTATTAGGATCCCCGAACTCCCGAATTATCTCCTATTCTTTTCACAACTCATGAATCAATCCACCAAAATCGATACCAATGACCTACCAATGACCACCAAACGATTCCCAATCCTCCTGCCCCTTACCAAACAAAATTCATAATCTTCCTCACCCCCGAAAAAATCCATCACCAGCTAAAATGTTCATAGTCCCATATCACTCCCCTATTATCATATCCCAAGCGTTTGAGGTTGCCAGATAGTTCACAATTCCGTGGGACGTGTTCATTAATGTGAGTTCACATCACAATAAAGCAAAAAGAACCTGAAAAATTGGTGCGCGAGCGGGCTATTACGTATCCCCCCACGAAATCTGTAGCTGAAATTTTCCGAGTACAGTGTGCGGAATAGCAGAAATGGAGAGGATGGGGTGGGAGGGGGTGAGGTAGATAGGGGTTGGGAGGGTAGGGGATAGGACAGATTGAAATAAAGTGGCCGTGGCACCACTGCGCCCGGCGGATCATTTAGCGGTTTTGTCGAGCGACAGCCAATTGCCGGCATTGTCGCTTCGCTGTACCACAATGGGCCAATCGGAATGCTCTCTGTCTCTTTTCATTCGTCCCCCCCCCCTCCACCCCTTGTGNCTGTCTCTTTTCATTCGTCCCCCCCCCTCCACCCCTTGCGAAACCATCAACCCCTACCTACTGTTCACCCACACATTCCAATCTACTGTGATTCCCCTCCCCCCCTCCCGGCCACTATTCCTGAGCAACACTGAGAGCATCTCTGTATCTTTGTCCTTCACTCCTCTCCCCCCGCCGCCCCTCTCTCACCCTTGAACAGTGATTCTTCTCCGTCTCTCTCGCTCTTTGACGCTCTTGGGGGGTGGTATGAGGCAACCCCGTACCCTCCACCCCCGGAATGCGCGTGAACCGGGTGTTGGATAGTTACGCTAATCGAGCAACCAATTTTACAGCGATAGAAAAGTCATTTTTACTGGTACTATGAAGTGATTTATTGTAGTTGATGGTGAATGAGGCATTTAGGGTTGTGGTGAATGACATGGAAAATTGAAGGGGGGTAATATTGGTCTATTTTTTGGGATGAGATGAAAGAGAAGGATAAGGATTGGGAGGTTTAGAGTCGGTGGCAAGAGAACATCAGTATAATTTTGATTTGAATTGGTCAGGGCATTGTGAGCCGTTTGGTGGCGAATGGTAGTCCGTTATCATTGTCGTGAGAATTCTATGACGATGTTTGTTTATTTGTCGTCTTCTGGGGACCGGAAGATTATGACTTTCGAATGAAAAGCTTAAGATTTCACTTGAAGTTGCTTTTGTGAGCTCAAACTCATACGCCAGCCGAACTCTCGTTTAACATCAACTTTTGGTTCCGTCTACTTGTCATGTAGACCAACAATTCATTAAAACTGTTAAACAAGCTAACTCACGCCTAAGATAACAGCAAGTTTAATAGAAATAAATCATACGGACAATATTCTAACGTCAAACCTTGCTCAAGCTCAAACTCAAGTTGAGCAAACTCCGCTCAAGAGTGCTCAAACTAACTCAAACTCCATCTCCACCCATCGACTACATCGCAAATTAATCGAAACTCGCGGACCGAAATACCTATTGTGCCCCAGAAGCTGTAGAACTACAGCTGCAAGCCTGTTTATCCAATAAACCTAATTTCTGGAATAACTAAAAAAACAAACTTCGGCAAAACGGATCTTCTCCCAAATCCTCCGTGAAATTTCCCCGTCCTTTGACAAAAATATTGCCAATTCAATAACGCTCTCTTCTATTAAATGAATAGCAGTTAAAATTTTAAAAACAATTCTTAATTACGCTCATCTTCTCCTAGACCCTCGAGTATACTTTCAGGAAATCCTACACGGAGAACCGTCGAAGCTCCCAGGAACAATGCCACCCCTAATTAGTCAAGTGGCTCTACTCCGTAGATAAAAGGGTGGGATGGAATATTCTTTGCGCAGGCACTCACGAGGAATCGATTTGTTTTTTCCAAAAAAATTAAAATCCCCAGAATGAGAAGATAAACAATTGAATGGCGAAGGCGATTGTTATGATTGAATCTCATCGGAGAGCATCGCTAATGACTATGATTGGGAATAGAAGACAAAAGTACTGGCTAACGTGCTCATTAAATTGCTAAAGATTCACCAAATCGTCCAGTTGCAACGCGAAATTACGAATAATCCCCAATGACACGAGTATTGACTAATTCTATCATTGAGAAGGATCAATTAATTGGAGAATAACTGACCTGCACTCGAGCCTCGGACAATTCCAAATTAGATGCCAGTGATTCCCTATAATTGACATCGGGATACTGAGTTTTCTCAAACGCCTTCTCCAACTCATTCAACTGATAAGTTGTAAATGTTGTTCTCGATCTTCTGACCTTCTTCGGTCTATCCATGTCCTCTATTTTTACTGGCATCACTGAATTATATCCCTGACCACTCGCAAGTAGCTCCTCATCATCGGCCGAGAGGTGACCAACTGTCTGCGATGGTCTTGAGTGATCTGTGAGGGGAAAACATCTTTATTGGGAAATATTCAGGTAGGAATATTCAATTTTGATAATGTGATTCGTTGAATGTCAGAGCTTTCATCCGATTTTACATTCACTTACAGAACATTTTGCATTTTGCATCTTTCCCACATTTTCGTTTGTACACTGTTAGAAAGTTCATGTTATTTCGGATGGAATTTGAAAATTTTTTATAATTCTTAAAAATTTAAAGCTTCAATTATTTCTATTTATCTCCACGAAAATGAACAGAAAAAAGAAAATTGAGGTGAATATATTCTTGAATTTCCAGTGAAATCTGAAATTTCATGATTTTATTCCCAACAAACTTTACTAATTCAAATATTTCCGAACCGACAACACCAATAAATAAATCAACAATAATAATTTACCATAACAAATGATGAATAATAAACTCATCAGTAAAACAAGAAAACCAAATATAAACTCCGCACTTTGATTTCCTCACCAATTCCAAAACATGTTCCACGATCCCCAAATAAAAAACAAAATCAATGATTTTCGAGACGACAGAATATCAGGCATGAAGACTCGACTATAAATTCGGCGACAATGCATCCTTTTTTTTTATCGTTTTTATTAAATTTTTAAGCCCCCTGTCAAACGTAAAACTACGAGGCGAGGCGATTTACGGATCGTCGAAAATATATGATACCCCCATGATGTCTGACCGACGGATTTGCCAATTTTTAATCCTCGAGTATTTGATTTTATCGGAGGGGCGAGGAGGGGCACAAGTTTGACTAGCACTGGACTGTTTCATTTTTTTTTATTCAATTTTTTATCTTTCATTTCATTCTATTTTTGCATCAGGGGAAACTGATGGATTCACTCGTCTCGTCAGCGCTCTCTTCTCTCCCCTCTAACCCCCCCCCCCCCCTGCCCCCCTCATTCGAGATGTGCATCTGATACTACATGTGTATTCACGTTTACCAATATTGGTACTTAAAGAGTGCATGAGTCATACTGGGTGATTAGTAAATATTTTTAGAGGAGGGGTGGGAGGTTTCGAGGGTTTATCAGTGTTTAGTAAATAAATTGTGAGGCAGTGGGGGATTGTAAACAGGCATATGTATGGGGAAGTATTAAAAATGACGAGGAAAATTTGTTCATCTCCACAGCGAGTGATTTTCCATGGAAATGTCAGGAAAATTTTCTGAACATTTTCTTCGGAAATCAAGAGTTTCTGGGGTGAATCGAAAATTTTTATGATGAACTGAAACTTGAGAGACTTTCTCCGATAATTACACTGGTAACACTTTGAGTCTAGTTTTATTAACGCGAAATTCTCGAAAATCAACTCTAGCCGTAAATTTTTAGATTTTCACTGAGAAAATTTAATAGTCATGCCATTATTAGGTAAATTGTAAATTGATCCGTAATTTCATATTATATTTCATGATATTATATGACAATTGAAAATAAAAATGTTTCTTTGTTTTTAATTGTCATAGGACAATCAAAAATAGAAATGTTTTTTTTCTCAATTACAATAGTAAACTGAAATTCAATAGTTAATTTTTTCGTTATTCTGAATATTTAATCATCGTGATAAAAAGTGACTGCCGATTTTTTTTCCAATTACACTAGTAAAAGCTGTCATCCAATTTTACCAATAAAAAATCCTCGAAAGTCAATCCTAATCTTTGAATTTTCACATTCTCATAAAAAATTATCAAAAAACTAGATTATCTCGATGAAATGTGCCTTACGACCTCTCCCCTAATTTCACAAATAAAAAGAGTTTCGCTCATAAAACTGAAAAAGTAAAAAAAGCTTCAGTTCAATTTTTCAAATGAAAAATCCTCGAAACTCAATCCTAATGTTTAAATTTTCAGATTTTCACAAAAAATTATGTTAAAAAAAATTTCCACCAATTTTCGACATGATGCGACAATTTCCTAGAACAGAACGGGATACCGACCCCCCCAACAAATAAATATTTTCGTCTTTGCAACAAAAAAAAACAAATCTCCTAGAATATTCAAACCCACTGTCCGGATAAACCCATGAAATTCCCTCCGCAAAAATCAGAATAATCATTCTAAATATCCCCCAATCACCCCGTTGATGTAATAAAAAGCTGATCATAAACATCTCAAATAGCCTAATTAACCTGATACAGCGATTTTCAACAGATAAAACCCCTAATCCCACTCGAATAATTCAGTCAATTAAGCGATATTGAAAAAAGTGAGTCATTAACGCATCATTCCACCGAGTTATCCTAGCTTATTGTATTCACTAACATGATACCTCTCCTCCCCTAGTTAGTTGGAAACTCTTGGCCTGTACAAGGTATATTACTCGGATTTTCATATACCGTTGGGCAGGCGCGTGCTATCGTTCGTTTATTCGCACAGACACACCAGGTAATCGCACACAGACACATGTTTGGCAGAGGGAAACACACATAGGTAGCGTATGGAGGAGCTAATCCATCATGAATAGAGAGATTTTAATGTTTTTATGATGGTGGCACAATGGGGGCTACCCACTTGATGCCCAAAGCCTTTCTATCCTCGTTTTCCAACAGCCCTCAACCACCCCGTCCTCCTCTCACTCCCCTCGCCCTCACCGCCTCCGC